TCTCCAACTAGTGACAGGATCATATGGCTTTTTCCTTTCCTCTGTTAAAATGATGGCTTTTGGGGGTGGATCTTCCAATGCTGAACCAACACTGCCACCCCTATAATAAAACTAGTTTCTACGTACTGCCAAAAAAAAAAAAAAAAAATGTATATTTTTGTCCACCTGTGTGCTCTTGATCCATTCCTGCCTATCTCTAAGGTCTCTAGTGTACTTAGGTCTCTACTGTACTTAAAGCCTTCCTTCTTTAGTTCCTTTCTCTCAGACTCTGAACATTCCCAAATTCTTTGAATTTCTCTTCACTTACATTGTTTTTTCCTCTTTTTTTGTGGTGTTGGGAATTAAATTCAGGGCCTCATGCATGCTAGGCAAGGATTCTACCACTGAGCTATATTCCCGGCCCTTTTTAAAATTTTTTGAGACAGGTTCTAACTAAATTGCCTAGGCTGGGGTCAAACTATGTCCTCCTGCCTCAGCCTCCCAAATAGCTGGGATTACAGGCTTAAAGTGACCATGCCCAGCTATAGTTACTGCCTTTTCTTGCCCTTTCATCCAAAATTCCTGAAAAACTAGTCCACATTGGCTATCTCTATATCATTTCCCATATTCCCTTAAGATCCTTCCCTTAGGATCCCTTAAGATCCTATATTAGCCTGCATAGTCTTTTATTGTTCCACTGAAATTATTCTTTCAAAGATGTTATAATGACTTTATAATGCTGGGTTGTTTGTGATTCTATTTTTGGACTGCTAACACATTTGACCCCCCTCTACTGGCATTTGTTGGGGGTTTTTTGTTATTGTTATTGTTTTGGGGGGGGGGTGGTACTGGGGATTGAACTCGGGCCCTTGCACTTGCAAGGCAGGTGGCGGAACCACTGAGCTAAATCCCTGGCCCTGTTATTGTTGTTTTGAGAGAAGGTGTTACTAAGTTACCCTGTCTGACCTCAAATTAGTGATCCTCCTGCCTCTGCCTCCTTCCTCAGTAGCAAGAGTTATAGACAGGTGCCAACACACTCTGCTTGAAATTCTCTTTTCTCTGTGCTGTCTTCTGTTTCTTCTTCTAATAAATTTCTCAGCATTGTTCATAGGCCTATTTTCCTCAGTCTATCCTCTTTTAATCTTCCACAAAATTTTATAGTTGACCCTCTTGATTTTCTACATGATCTTTTGAAAGGTAGTTTAACTACACCAAATATTTGCCAATAATGCACACACCTTAATCCTCAGCTCCCATTATTTCTAAGTTCTGGAAGGATAGTCAACTTTTTGTAGGGTTTTTAGGATTTGCAAATACCACAAGTATGTAAAACTAAATCCACCTCCCCACCTTGCTCTTCTTATTTTATCTGTTTTATGTGGTGGAACTACCTTCTGAATACTCAACCAAATTTGAAAAGCAACAGTCAACATTAACTCTTCCCCTAATCATCAAATCTTGCTGTGTTTCCCTCCATGTCTCTAGACCAGTGGTGGTGAACCTATGGCAGATGTGCTGCAGTGGGCTGTTTATATCACTGAAAGCTCTAAAAGGTTTGCCATCACTGCTCCAGATCAACCATTTCTTCTTTTATCCTCAGCCCCATGACATAGCCTCTATTTTTGTCTTCTTCAAATAGATCTTTCAAGATGCTAATAGAATAATCCATTAGTTTTCTTTTTTTGATTATTCTGGGTTTTTCGTAGTGGGGATTGAACCCAGGCCCTTGCACACGCTAGACAAGCGTGGGGCCACTGAGGTTCATCCTCAATCCCAGTTGTTTACATTATTCTAAAGATGAGTTCTTTATAACTCTACTATGAAATAGACATTATGAACTTCCTTTTATAGGTATAAAAATTACATTTCAGAGATATTAAAGGGCACATCTAATGATTTTACAGGACTTCCAGAAAGGTGGTGGAGTGGTGAGTAGCAGAGAAAGAGCCTCGCAGAAATTTGGTTGTCCTGACACTGGAATATAGCAGCGCAAGGAGAAAAAGGAGGGAAGTGGGTCCCCGGGACCGAGGATCTGTGGCAAGTACTGAAGTCTGCAGGGAGAGGGAAGACAGGGACTTTTAAGGAAGAGGAGGGAGGTACCAAGCAGCATTCTCCGGACTCTCGTCGAGGGAAAGGCTGGCCGAACCTGCAGACGCATGGTGACTGCTGATGACCCCAGAGGCCGCCCTGGAGAAACGCACCAGTGGAACAGAGGAGTGAACGAACCGGACTGAAGCAGCTGGTAAGTTATCCAGGTTCGGACCTTACCCAGGAGAGGGTGATTGGCTGGTAGCCATTTTGGAGAGGGGCCAACTGAGCTCGGAACTCAGAATAGCTGCGGGAGGACTCCCAGTGCCTCGGTTTGGGTCCTGAGTTCAAGTCAGCAGGAGGTCAGGGAGCGGAGTTCAAGCGGCAGAAGACAGACTGTTGTAGGCTCAAAGAATTCAGTTTCAGCCTCAGCCAGAAACTGGCCTGCACTTCAGAGGAACTAAAGGGGCAGGCTGCCTGGGATTATCCACTACCCCACCGTGAAGCTGCAGCTAGATTGCTGGGATTAATCACTTTGACTCTGGACTATTTGGTTATTTATTTATTTATTTTTTTGGTACCGGAGATCGAACTTGGGTCCTTGAGCTTGCGCAGCAGACGGTTTGGACTCTGTTTGACCACAATGCCTAACAGTAACAGCAGAGACACACCTTGAATTAGATGTTGGGGGGGGGTCTCTCTTTTTTTTCTTCCTTTCTAGTTGTTTTGTTTTTTCTTGATTGTTTGAACATGGTTTCTAGGTTTTTGTTGTTCTTGTTCTGTTCTGGTTTTTATTTTTTCCTTTTCTCTTTCCCACCTGTCTTCACCAGTTTCCTAAAGTTTGTCCTCCAGCCTTGCTTCTGATCTCTTCTTCTATTTCTGTTTTTTACCCCCAACCCCTTTTAATCTTCTCCCCGCTAAGGGTAAAATTATCATATTGAAGGCCAAGGTTTGTCATTTTCTAGGCTGTATATGATGTTACTGTTATTGCTGATTGTACTACTTTAGCCAAGGTGACATAATTGTGCTAATCAGTTTTTCCTCCTGGTATATCAAGACTGAGATTGCCTAAGGGTCTTTAAAAAAAAAAAAATCCTATATGCCAGTGCCTAAGAACTGGCAGCTGGACCAAGTAGGCAGAAACTTCTCATCCTCAATAAACGGAAGAGGTAGGACCCTGAAACAGACTCAAAACCCAAAAGCTAGCTACACCTGGAAGATGCTTCTGAGAAGTAGTCATTTCCTAAGGGTTCTGAATACTGACAATAAAACTACTCGCCATAAGCAATTTAAAGCATCAACCCAGAATCAAACTTTAAAAAAAATAGAAAATGAGAAGACACTTAAACAAGATGCAACCCCCATGGACTTTCAGCTTGCCAAAGGCAAACCCCGGGGACAATGAAGTCGAACAATCCAAAAGCCACCCACCTAAATGATTTTACATAATAACATCTACTTTCCAATACATTGGTGATGTCAGAATAGCCTTTAATATTTACAAAGTCAATCTTATAGCATTGTCTCAATGTGGAGACAAGGTATCAGACCAAACTAGATTTAAAAGCATAGTTGTTTTTTTTTTGGTACCGGGGATCAAACTCGGGTCCTTGAGCTTGCGCAGCAGGAGGCGAAACCACTGAGCTAAATCCCCGGCCCATAAAAGCATAGTTTTTTAAGAGCTAACATTCTCTGTGAACACTTTACAGAAAGAAATTATATCTTAGTGATAAAAAGTATGGAGAAAAAAAGTCTAAATTACACCTCTCAGCTGTACCAATAGTCTTAACCTATAACTCCTGGGTAGAGGACCATCTGAGTGGAGAGAATATGTAGAAGAGCTTACTTAGTGAAACCTGTTTGGGTCACAAGATCTCGCTCTCTCCCTCAGCAGGAGGAGAAAGAAAGAACTTTTACTCTAAAATTCAGTACAATTCTTAAGAGAAATAACATTTCCTTCCAAGCAAATATTTAACAGTGGAAAAGGCATACACCTGAAAGCTCAAATCAATACTTTTGTTAAACTGGGTATGGTGGCACATTCTTGTAATCCCAGCACTCAGGAGGCTGAGGCAGGGGGATTGCCCAAATGAGTTTGAGGCCAGCCTGGGCTACATGGTGATTTCAAGGCCAGCCTGAATTACACAGCTAGATCCTGTCTCAAAAAAAAAAAAAGTTAAATGTCTACATACCTTAGAACACAGAAGAGCATGTTATGATTAACTATAGTAAAATCACTTTTAAATGGCTATTACTCTTTTTAAAGAAAAATATTTTTATCAGGATTTTATTAGAAATCCTGGGGCCGGGGATTTAGCCCAGTGGTTCTGCCACCTGCTTCAACAAGCACAAGGACCCGAGTTCAATCCCCGGTACCAAAAAAACAAAACAAAAAGAAATCCTGAATTTGGGAGACCCACTAAGTTAATAATTCTCCTATTTAAAAGGTTAGTGTAAGGACCGGGGATGTAACTCAGTGGTGCCACCACCTGCCTCACAAGCACAAGGTCCCGAGTTCTATCCCAGAAAGAAAAGAAAAGAAAAGACAAGACAAGAAAGATTAGTCTAAAGCCCTAAAGGCTGGTCTTCTAAAGGAGAGCCATTCTTTTCTAAAGCTAGCAACTCACCTGCATTTGCTTTAAGGTCTTCAGGTGTGACCATGACAACAAATCGAATTGCACGCTCATTTCGAAACATTTCATAAGACCACCGCCGGATAGATCTCATGCATTTCACTGCTGCAATGCCATTATTAGCAATAAGAACCTGGGAGGAAAAAAAATGGAGGAAAAGATAAAAAATATAAGGAGAGACAAAAGAAGATCAGAGAATTTTTGTAGATCTTTCTCTGAAAAAAAATTAGAATTTCAACCAGAATTCTAAGTAAGACTGTAAGGAATCAGTTCTCACATGATCAAGCAGTATTTTTAAATATTTACTAAGCAAATACTTCAGGTATAACTTATTCCTTTTTGAATTCATTTCTTGAAGAGAAAAAAGTCATAATTACTCATATCCGGTTTAGTCATCCATACCTATTACTAGGGAGCTGAAGAAAACAAATTTCAGAGGGATAATATATTATCAAAAAAGAATGGAGGGGACCAGCATTTAGCTCAGTGGTTCTGCCGCCTGCCTCGCAAGCACAAGGTCCCGAGTCTGATCCCCGGTACCAAAAAAAAAAAAAAAAAGAATGGAGGAAGACTAAACTGTGCAGTGTTATGTACTATTCCCTGCTGTAAGATAAGACACAGAGTCTTAAAACATTTTTTAAAAATCTGACATAATCTTCCACATACTGAACCCCAAGCCTTAGAATTGTATAAATCACAGTAAGGGTGAAGCTTTTAGAGACTGAGTGCCCAAACTGCAACCCAAAACCCTGTTATTTATCCCAAAGTGCCAACACTTCAATTAAGCCTGAATACTGAGGTTTTAGTTTAGAAATAAACACCTCATACATTAAAAGAAAAACACAGAGAGTTTTCCATGATACAAACAGCCCAATACATGCCATAGGTTTGCCACCACTGGTAGATGTTTCAGAATGGTTCATAAGAAAAACAGAAGAATCAAAAGACTCTAAGACTTCTCTGTAAATACACATTTCATCTACTTACTTGTCTTGCATCACGCGCCTGAGAAAACACAGGTGAACACATAATCTACCTTTATGGAAAGAATAACAAAAGTACACTGCTGAAGCTTTACTTTGGAATATACTCCATTCTTTAATCTTTTAATCACTATAAGGTATTTCAGTCAATCGCTCAGCTCTGACATGGTTTAGATAAAAATGACACAGATTACCATAACATTTCAAAATACTTGAAATTTCTTCAAGTATTTCATGTGATATATTCCCTTTAAACATCTCAAATACCTGGTGGAAGGTGGAAGTCACAATGTACCAAATTGTTGAAGCGTTCTTTTCTCAAACCCTGTATTGCTTTAGCTCTAAATCCAATGCTGTCCCAAATTATCTTCCCACCAGCCACCCCATAAGATAATCAATTCCTCATACTCTGTCATATCAATGCAGTCCCACTTTGTAAAACCAAAAGATCTTTCAAAAATAACTTTATGAGGAATGTTTCTTTATTTTTCTTTTAGATTTTTTTTTTAAGCAGTGTTTCAGCTCCTTAATTATGACTAAATTAGCAGTGGTAAATCTATACTACAGAAAATAATGAAGTTATACAACAGGATGCTAGGAGGCAGAAAGGACAATTGCACAAAAGAGACAAAGTATATGAAAATCTAAATATCAATTTTGAACAACTCTACACAACAAATCTACTTTGCATTGCTAGGGATCTGACCCAAGACCTGGCACATGCTAGGCAAGTGCCCTACCAGCTGAGCTACATCCCCGTCTCTCAGGTACTTTTAACAAACTGACAAATTATAACTTACCTTCTCAATCACCTTATTTCCCCCAAAACGAGTAACAAATTCTGCTGGAGAAGCCACAGTGAAATCTCGCTGTGAGTCTATTTTCTTCCGGTCTCGACCTTGTTTTACTAGGTGCAACCCAGACATACTGGACCTATAAAAATAGAGAAACCATGAGAGTCTATAGATAGGATTTCTTCACACTATCCATACCTGCTGGAAACCTGCTTTTCATTACCATTCTCATAACAGTACTTCCAATTGTATACTTTTAGAGTTTCCATCCTGGCAGACCACACAATTTTAAAATAAAAGAGAAATAAAGAAAATCCTCACTTGGAGAAATTGAAGGGGAAAAAAAGTTTTCCTGAACAACAAAAAATAATATCAAGGTTTATCAACAGATGCCATCACAAAGCCATAGGGAAAAGATAGAGTGAAATGAGGTAATATAAATACTTGAGAGACTGAAAGCTAAACACAGCAAGGCTGTTTCTGGATTGTGACTGCCGTACACATAACTTTTATCTCTGTATTCCTACCCTCCATCTTTCTTATGGGCTTTAACTGCATATTTTTAATTGCCTGCTAAATGTTTTTACTTGGGTATCTCACAGGCATCTCCAAACCAACAACCTCAAAACCAAATTCTGTACAGGGCAACATAATATACCATATTTTATCAACTTTAAGATAGCCACCTTTCTTTTACTTGTTAAAATCTCTGATATTGGTATATATCTTATCATTGATGTCTTAATTGGTAGCATTATTCTTCTAGTGGTATATAAAATAATGCTGCTTTCTAACAATCAATGGTGTGTCAGATTAAATGAAAATAAGAGAAAGAGCACAGGTTTGAGTTTAAATTCCAGACCTGGAACAATGATCTTGACAAATAACTTAGCCTTGCCCAGCTTCAGTTTTTGTCTTTCTAAAATATGCATGGTGGTCACTGTTCCAGTTGTATCTCAGCTCCAAGCCTACCCTCTCATGCTCTGCTCTGTAACTATGGGGCTAGTACTGCAAACTTCATTTCCATGACTCCTTTGATAGCTCTCTCCTGTTCAGTTCTGCCAAAGAGAATGCAGAAAGGTAAGAAGGACTTCCTTTCTGTTTTCCAGCTCTTATCAGTCTCACTCCAGCAGTAACAGTTCATTTAAGCCTCTAGCTTCTTTCACCATTCCCAAGAAAAGCCTTAAAAGCACTAGCAGTAGGGGTTGTGGCTCATTGGCAGAGTACCAGATTTGCCCTGCTCACTCACCCTCTGGACCAAGCTACCTAGACTTACCCATCCTCTGTCAGGCCAAGCTTCCTCCAAAGGGATTGTAGCACAAGCTACTCAAAGCTCACTCCTTGAGGTCCAAGCACCAGGCTCCAGGGCTCTCCTCCAAGCTCCTAGATTCTGGTAACACTACCTCTCTTCCCTTTTGTGCTCCCAGCCTTAAAGATGAAAGGAGCTTCCTGCAGTTAACTCAAGATTATGGTTAACTCAACATTCTTTTCTTGTTTTGATTCTTCTAAAACCTCTGTTTAAAATACCTAATGCAGGGATTTAGCTCAGTGGTTTCGTCGGCTGCTGCGCAAGTGCAAGGACCCGAGTTCGATCCCCGGTACCAAAAAAATAAAATAAAATAAAATAAAATACAATAAAATACCTAATGCAGTTTCTCTTCTCATAAGTAGACTTGACTGAGAGATTCTCTAAAAGGATTTTTTCCTTCCCTTCCGACAATCTAACTTCAACATTGCAGTAAGTTATCTTTTCAAAATAAAAGAATATGATTAAAATCTTCTGACAAGCCAGACATGGATGGTGGTACATGCCTGTAATCCCAGTATTTTGGGAGACTGAGGCAGAAGGATCCCAAATTCAAGCCCAACCTGGGCAGTTTTGCAATTTAGAGACCCTGCTTCAAAATAAAAAGGCCTGGGAGGGCCGGGGATTTAGCTCAGTGGTTCTGCTGCCTACCTCAAAAGCGCAAGGTCCCAAGTTTGATCCCTGGTACCAAAAAAAAAAGCCTGGGGATCTAGCTTGATCCAGAGACCCTGAGTTCAACCCCCAGTACACTCCTCCCACAAGTCTTCCCACAGTGTCATGCCAACTCATTCTGGAGCCTGAGGCAAAGGGAAAACTCAGTATTATGATTCTGTCTTTACTCAAAATACTGATGTTTTGCTCATTATGGATTTCTTTTTGGGTTGTTTTTTTTTTGGTACCGGGGATTGAACTCGGGTCCTTGCGCTTGCGGGGCAGGCAGCGGAACCATGAGCTAAATCCCCATCCCTCATTATGGATTCTTTACATTGATTTTGACTTTAAAAACATTTCACTAAAATTTTATTTATATTAGGGGGAAGAAAAATACCATTAAAATAAAAAGATTCAGAGTTGTGTTCTATTTTCTTCCTGTAAGTTTTTAGGTACTATTTTTAGGTACTATTTTCTACTCTTGGCTCCAATTTTATCATTCATTCATCCATCCATTCATTCATTCAGCTGTACTGGGATTGAACCTACGACTTCTTCATACATGTTAGGCAAGCACTTTACTGCTGAGCTATATACCTCTACCTCTTCTGTGCAATTTTATATATGTAATTGTTTCTTTGTTAACCCCTTTAGAATGTAAGTCTCCCGGGAGGGAGGGACCAAATCTCATAAGATTCTCTTTTCTGATACATAGCATACTATTTGGCTTTCTACACACATATAGTTCATTTGCTGTTGTTTGGGGGGGAGTTGTTATTTGTTTTTACTTTTTGCAGTACTGCAGATCAAATTCAAGGCCTTGTATATGCTAAAGCAAGCACGCTACAATTGAGCTACATTCCCTGCCTTTTTTTAATTTTAATTTTGAGATAGGATCTTACTAAATTGCCTATCCTACCCTATAATTTGTAATCTTGCTTCAGGCTCCAGAGTAGCTCTTATTACAGGCATGTAGCACTATGCCTGGCTAATTTCCCCATAAGGTAAACACTGAACCTAACCACTGAGTTTGATTCAGTTCTCAGCCAATTCAGTTTGTGACCATAATTGTGGAAAGAATTAAGTTCATGAACTGACGTACCTAGATAGATAAATAGATGGATCACCAATCAGTGTTTTTCACAAAATCTCTATCAAAATTCAGTAATAAAGTGGTAAACACCTATAATGCCAGCACTTAGTGATGCTGAGGTAGGAAGATAGCAAGTTTGAGTCCAGCCTGAGCAACTCAGTGACTTAGTAAGACTCTATCAAAATAAAAAAAAAATTTTAAAGGCTGGGGATGTAGCTCAGTCTACAGGCCTTTGGTTCAATCTCCAGTATGAATCAATCAATACACAAATGTACATACATATATACATACATACTCAGTGAGCAGTCTCTTCCTTTATACTTTACAAGACCTAAGATGGCTCCTTACTTGTAAAACCTTTCCTACAGGAGAGAGGACAGCAAGGGACAATTCAGAGACTAGGGGCTACTTTACCTACTAGACTTAAGGCCAGAGATTTAGCTCAGTGGTGCCACCGCCTGCCTCACAAGCACAAGGTCCCTAGTTCAATCCCTGGTACCAAAAAAAAAACCCACCTAATAGACTTAAAGTGCTGCACACACCACTGCTGGTACTCAGTGTACAGCTTAGCTAGTGGGCGTAATAACACTCTCAAACCTGAGTCACTGACATTTCAAGCTGGTCAACCTATTAAAATTTTCTACATCCTTTTCTATAATGCATGTAGTTACCTTGATCTGAACTGGAACTCTAAAGTAAAGAGTGGCCTGAACCAGGCATGATGGCACATACCTGTAATCCCAGCACTCTGGGAAGCTGAGGCAGGAGGATCAGAAGTTCAAGCCCAAACTGGGCAACTTTGTGACGTGGCAAAACCTTGTCTCAAATTAGAAAAAAAAAAATTTAAAGGAGGTGGGGTATGCAGGGATGTAGCTCAGCAGAAAGGCCTTCAGTTCCATCCCCAGTATTACCAAAAAACAGAGAGAATCTTTAAAGAAAATGATGCCTAGAAGGTAGAATGATTAAGTTTAAAGTTACAAAGGAATTTTATAGTACAGACAAGAAAGCAAGTTCCCTAAGTCTCATTTCCATGTTCTGCCAACCATACCATGCAACATCTATGATGATAATAAATATCAGTGGTCTAGAAGCAGTTCCTGGGCATAATTTTTAAAAAGCAAAACTTAGCTGGGCATAATGGCACATGCCTACAATCCCAAGAGACTGAGACAGAAGAATTACCAGTCTGAGCTTGGCCTAAATAATTTATTGATTTAGTGAGATCAAGTTGCAAAATTTAAAATAATAATAATAACCAAAACAAAAAAACAACTTCCTTGCCTATAACTTTATTTTCCTTGCACTCATTGCTTTTCAGGTCCAAGTTCATGGATCATTACCAATGAATCAGACTGAGTAAGAACATAAATGAATCTCAGAAACAGAGAAACTGGACACAAAAGAACACATACTGCATGACTCCCGTTATATGACATTCTGAAATGAAGATAACTAATCTACAGTGCAGAAAGCTGATCAGCATGCTGAGTTAGGGAAAATGACTGCAGAGGGGTAATGAGGATGAAAGAATGTTTTACATCCTGATCTTGATTGTGGTGATGGTTACATAGGTTGATATGTACGTCAAAACCACAAAACTGTAAATTTTTTTTGGTACCGGGGATTGAACTCGGGACCTTGTGCTTGCGAGGCAGGTGCCGGAGCCACAGAGCTAAATCACTGGTCCACAAAACTATAATTTTTATTTTGTTTTGTTTTGTTTTGTTACCGGGGATCAAAAAACTATAATTTTTAGGGCTGAGGATTTAGCTCAGTGGTTCCGGTGCCTGCCTCGCAAGCGCAAGGTCCTGAGTTTGATCCCCGGTACCAAAAAAAAAAAAAAAAAGAAAAGAAAAACTGTAATTTTTAAAAGGTAAACTTTCTGTAGGCAAATCAATAACCCAACAAACATGATTTTTTAAAAAATCTCATTGAAATGTCTGTGTAAAATAGACACATTTGACTAAATTATACCTCAATAAACTTTTAAAAACTGTTACTGCTGGTGGAGGGGGTGAAGGGAGGGCAGGGGAATGGAGAAAAAACAAGAGCCAAGATACATCACGAAATGTAATCAATGATGAATGTA